ATTTAACTGCAAATCTGCAAGTATTGGTCGCAAAACTTGTTACAATGATAGTTTTTTAGTAGTTCTGTTAGAATTTTCATCCAAAAAATACTATGTTTTATGAGAACATAAAGAAGAGGGAATTCTAGCGAAATTATCCAAAAAGACTTTTGCTTCATATTGTGACAAATTTAGGAACTTATGTTCACAAAATTTTAATTTACAGGCCAAAACTCTAATTGGACTAAAATTAATGAATTAAGCAATAATTTTCAGTATATCAAGGTTATGTATTAACGTTATGTTAAAAAGACCAAAATGGCCTAGTACTTAAGCATAAGTTCATCTCTTGAAGACTTGGATGGAGGGTGCTTTGGTCTACTCACATGGTCATAGACTCATATAGTAAGAAGGGTTACTGGAACTGAAGTTTCAATCCACCTAGCTGCTGAAGATTTTCAGTATTTTTTTCTGTTGGTAGAAATTTGAATTCCTTGAGGGGTAAATTTGTCATTTCATTTCTCTTCAGAGTCTTCTCATTTTCTGAGCCGTGACAGCCTTTAATTTATCTATAGAGGATTTTGGATTTCCTCGGATCTCTAGGAGTGAATGTTTGGGCGGTTGTGATTAATATATATTCTGTGTAGGTACCCAATTATTTACTAGCTCTGCAGAGTGCACAGGAACCTCACATGCGTGCCACTGTTACAAGCACAGTAGATCCCACTAGATTTGTATAACATCAAATTTAGGCAGGCAGATGGTCTGCGCTCTTGTTGAATACCCTTTCTATTTTTTTTATTTGTGCAGTTACGTTTAAATTACGTTAATATTTTATATTTTTATTATCTTTTATCTTATTATTTTTATAAAAAAATTAATATAAAATAATAATGTGATTTAGCCGTGACCGTACAAAATAGTAAAGGATGAAAAATACATCCAAATACGAGGGCAGACTATCTGCCTCCCAAATTTAGACTAGTGTTGTTGAGCATCTATTTTTATTTTTCAGATACTTTTTTTATTTTTAATTGTCTAATCGAATAAATTAAAAAAAATAATGAAAGAGTAGAACAATTAACAAAATAAGCTTAGGTTAAAAGTATTTATTTTTTTTTGTACTCTGTCGTACTTTTGGAGCCCAACAAGATTTTCCGCGTTCGTTCGGTTATAGTTTTATCATATAGTTTCATGTACACGTATTACTTATATGTCACATGAGTCATACTCTTGTACCATATTCTATGTTTGCTTGTTTGCTCAGAAGTAGACATGCATGTATACTTCTACATGTCAATCGCTGTTTAACACGTGTTATTTTTTCCGGTTTGTATTGTATTTGTAGTGAGTTATTTCAGCATATATGTCAAATTATGATTATTGCGATAAGAATGGTTTCTTCCCTAAAACATTGTAATCCAATAATGCAGGTTACTTAGAAAATGGCAATTTTGAGCTATCCCCTAAGCCATCAGACCTCAAGGGTTCCGAAGTGATTGGCCGCTATGCCATACCAAAGTGGGAGATTTCTGGGTTTGTGGAGTACATTAAGTCAGGCCAAAAGCAAGGGGACATGTTGCTGGTTGTCCCTGAGGGGGCCTATGCAGTTAGGCTCGGAAATGAGGCCTCGATTAAGCAGAGCATTAAAGTGATTAAGGGATTATACTACTCAATCACTTTTAGCGCAGCCAGGACTTGTGCTCAAGAGGAGCGTTTGAACATTTCCGTGGCACCGGACTCTGGAGTGCTGCCTATCCAAACAGTGTATAGCAGCAATGGTTGGGATTCATATGCTTGGGCGTTTCAGGCGGATTATGAGACAATTGAGTTTGTTTTGCATAACCCCGGCGTCGAGGAGGATCCGGCTTGCGGGCCTCTAATCGATTCGGTCGCCTTCCGGACTTTGTACCCTCCTCGAGCAACCAACAGTAAGTTCTCTCAGCAAATATTTGGCACGTTATGTTTCGAAATCTCAATATAACACTGCATATTCAAATTCGCCGATTAAATTGATAATCTAATAATATAATATTTGATAGTGTAATTGCTTAATATAGGTGACCTAGTTACATAAAATGAGATATTCTTATGTCCATCTTAAGATAAAAATGGGGTCCTCTTATAGGAAGGACCACACTATTTGTATAGTTGTATGGAGCCACTGTTTCACCTCCATTTGAAAACCAACAGGATTCTTTTTGGATCATTTTGATGAGGATATTGTGAACTCGTGAATCGTGTTCGTTTATTGTACATTGTGCGATTAATTTTTGTTAAATACTTTTTGTGTTTAAATTTTAAATAAAAATATTTAAAATAATTTCTGATCTCACAATATACGATGAATAGACACAATTCACAGATTCCTAATATTCTCATAAAGAAAATCTGACGAGAATCCTGATTCATTTAAAACGGCTAAAAAATTCTGAGCTGTGGATGCAATTATTTGATGACAAATGTCCTTTTTGGGTATGCAGCACCTGTCCCTCTGCCTAAGTTTTTGGCATGCGTGACATCAAATAGTAAAGAATTTAAAAACATAGAAACTATACTGATTCCTGGATAAGAGAACACACAGATCAAAATTAGGAAAATCTTTTTTTTTTTTTTTCGGTTAACAAATTAGGTAAATCTTGGCTATTCTCAGTAACTTCATAGATCTCTTATTTCCATTTAATTTCAATGTCATGGCTCATTAACAATGCTCATTTATTAGTTGGGTCCAAAACCCCATGAGAGTGAAAGATTTTCCAGAAGTGAAAGATTTCCAATGTGTTTTGAACATTAACACATCCGTCATTTGTTATTATACAAATGAACGAACTTTTGAAAAAAACAAACTTTCTTCATTTGTATAATAACATATGTATGTATATCCTGTCCAATATTACAAGTCGAGGCTGGCAAGTTAAACCTCTCATGTAATAATCAACTCTAGAAAGCAAATCTCATAATTAAAGCTGGTGCAGTGCCTAATTTTTGGGTCACATTGTCTTGGACATACACAGCCGGCCATGACCCTCTTTCTCATGCTGTATTAAAATTGTAGGGTCTATCATGTCTCTCCCCTTCGTACATTGATGCATGCATAATTTAAGTGTACAAAGTTGGAAAAACACTGTATTGGTAGATTTACTGTAGATTTAAGTAAATTATGACAAATTAACATGATTAATGATCTAGATTTACACTCTGGTGAATAATTACCTAATAATCCACCTCTACTGCAGAGAACTTGATAAAAAACGCCGGATTCGAAGAAGGTCCATACGTGTTCCCAAACGCATCTTGGGGAGTCCTAATCCCACCAAACATAGAAGATGACCACTCTCCATTACCAGGCTGGATGGTGGAGTCCCTCAAAGCAGTGAAGTACATAGACTCGGGCCACTTCTCAGTCCCGGAAGGCAAAAGAGCGGTCGAACTTGTGGCCGGAAAAGAAAGCGCAATCGCCCAAGTTGTCCGAACCATCCCCGGAAAAACCTATGTGCTCTCGTTCTCAGTAGGAGATGCAAGCAACTCATGCGAAGGCTCCTTGATCGTGGAGGCATTTGCAGGGAAGAACACTGTGAAAGTGCCTTATGAGTCCAAGGGCAAAGGCGGGTTTAAGCGAGCTGTGCTCAAATTCGTGGCGGTTTCGACCCGGACACGTGTCATGTTTCTAAGCACATATTACACCATGAGGAGTGATGATTTATCTTCTCTGTGTGGACCTGTGCTTGATGATGTGAAGCTGTTGAGCCTTAGGAAACCCTAGACAATGAGGGCCAATTTGATAAATACAAATTGGGTTGGAGCTAGGGTTTGGAATTTGATAATATGAATGTGAGGAAACGAGGCCATATATTTATGATTCACAATGAATGAGGTCGCATAATTTGGGTTATATGATGATGGTGATGAACTTTTGGTTCATTTTTTAAAAGAAGATTAGCGGCGGGATTAGCGTGTACAATTATAGTTTAATTTGTATGAATGGTTTATGTACTTTCATGAGCAAAATAAATGAGAAAATAATGATATTTAGTTATTTTCAAAACAAAAGGAATTCAAAACCATTATAGAAAATTGCAAGTGATAAATTGTTTTAGTGTATAACACATTTCTCTTCAACCCATTCAATTCCATCAGTTCTGGATTTAAACCCTTCTTCTTTCGCGTCATGTAGCTTAGATAGTAGTATCGTTTATAATAAAGAAAAAAAAATTCAAAGAATTGTTCTTTATTGTACAGGGTCTGAGAACGTGTTTCTCAACTATTTTTGTGCTTTGTTAAGGTGAATTTTTTAGGCACTTGTGAGTCCAAAAGGCACAACCAAATCCCTGAAAAACCAAGAATTAGAATAATTAGGAAGGAGTCAGTTTGATACCCCTTCCTTCTCATTCTTATTCACTAGACCTTTTTTTTTTTTTTTTTTTTTTTTTTTTGGGGTTGTGGGGTGGGGTGGGGTTATGTTCACGACTTCTTTGATTCAAAGTCAAAATGCCAAAAGCTTTAACTTCCTATAATCTTAAACAGTTCAAAAGTAATAATCCACGACGTAATAACAACATTATTTGGAATATTTAAACTTAATTTTTATTAGAATGTAAATATTTAACTTAAAATCAATTGGCAATAAAAAATAAAGACCCAAATTATATGCTCCGTACGCAAATCATTTTTTTGATGCGTGACTACTTTCAACAGCCTCTGGCCCTCTAACAACCCCAAAAGAAAAATATCACTAGAGCACATTAATACAACATATGCATCAAACCCATGAACCAATGCCAGAAACTCGAAAATATTGAACAAATAAATGAGACTTGGAAAGCAATTTTTCATGATAAAAAATGTCACACTTTACGCCAGCCCAAGCCCAACAGCCCAACAGCTCAACATCCCAATTCAAACTTTCAAAACGGGTCCGATAAAACCCGGTACAGTCCAAAAGGTCAAACGGATCCCGCTACGTGTCAATCAATCTCATTTTAGTGTAACAATCGGACGGTCCAGAGCGCTGCGTAACGTTGAAGCTAACATAAGGAAGTACTAGGGTCTCTGAAAAGGCTCCGACTATATAAACCCTAAACAAATCTCGCCCCGTTCCCTCTCTCTCCCCCTCACTCGTTCTGCTCTCTTCTGCGCCACTCAAAGTGTCGGACCAAGACGCAAATGGTAAGTCCTCACATTTTTTCTCGGGAAATTTTCTATTCGTTTCCTTTGATCTTCGTATTGTGTGTTTGGCTGCAGAGAAAACCGGTTTTTGACTAATTTTTTTAAATATTTTTGGTGAAATTTTGCAGGCTTTGCCGAATCAGCAGACTGTGGATTACCCGAGCTTCAAGCTCGTCATTGTCGGCGATGGTGGAACAGGTCTACTTTTTATTTTCTCTTCCGATTCATGATCTGCTTGGTTTCTGGGAAAATTTTCGTTTTTTGAATTTTTTAAGTTTGTTATTTGTTTGGACAATTCGTTTGGTTTCTGAACTCAAATGAACAAAATGCAAACTCTTTTGCTCGGAAAATATGGAGTTTGAATTTAATTTTGGTTAAAAGAGTTGAATTTGGTGTAGCAGTTGTAGATACATAAATTATTTTTATTTTTTTTGAGAGCTAGACCTAAATGGTAGACATGAAGTTTGGATTTTTGAGTGATTAGGTAGTTATAGGGTGATTTCCCATGACGTTACCTCAAAATCGATTGGGGCAATGGAAATGAACTAAAGTAGATCTAAACTTGTTGCTTCGCTAGAAATTGTTTACCGGCGTTTCGGTTCTTGGACCTTGTTACAGTTGTTCAAATGAAAATGCGGCTTAAATTTTATGTTTGGTGGTTTGATGCTGTCTCGGTGTGATGGGGTTGCTGGTATTAGTAATTTGTTTATAATGATGTGGTGTTTCCCTGATTGAAACTTCTGTCGATGCAGGAAAGACAACCTTTGTCAAGAGACATCTTACTGGTGAATTTGAGAAGAAATATGAACGTAAGTATCTTGCGTACTGCTTTTCCCGTTTGATTTGTCTTTGGTTTATTGACTGTTCCCTTTCCATTTTGTGATCTATGGAACTCGTTCGCATTCTTGTTTAATGGACAGCAACTATTGGTGTGGAGGTTCATCCATTGGACTTTTTCACCAACTGTGGAAAAATTCGATTCTACTGCTGGGATACAGCTGGACAAGAGAAGTTCGGAGGTCTTAGAGATGGATACTAGTGAGTTTTTTATTGTAGTCTTAAATTTCTGGCTGAAGTTTGTTATCAAACTTGTTTGCATTTGTTTTTTTTTGGCTGTGTTTAGAGCACAAGTATTCTGCTTTCTAAATTCTTGTCAGCGTTAATTGCTACTAAGATTTGGTTTGTTATTGGATCAGTCAAGTCTAAAGCTGGTGCTTATCCTTGTATAGTGCTATGTTGATTTTCGAGTCAAATGATTGACATGCTTCAATCTTCATTGAGATATGATAATGCAAATTTGGATGACGAAACCTTTGTTTTATGGATTATGACTAAGATTAGTTTCTTCCAACCTTGTTGAAAGGATTTTTTATGTATTTATGCTTTATAGCTTTTAGCATTCAGGCCACTTTCTGTAGTTCCATTCCTAGTGGATGCAGGAAGGTTTTATAGTTATCGCTCATCATGCGTATGTCGATTGTACTCCCCAAAATGTGATATTTTCTTACTTTGATTTTGAATTATGTTGTTGTGCAGTATCCATGGGCAATGTGCTATTATCATGTTTGATGTTACTGCTCGGTTGACATACAAGAATGTTCCCACATGGCACAGGGATCTTTGCAGGTGTGCTGGCAAAGTTCTCTTTATTTGTTATCGCATGTATTTCTCTCGATGAGGTTTTGGGTTTTGGTATTTGACTTTTTGGGTTCTCGTGTTTTGAATTCCAGGGTCTGTGAAAACATACCGATTGTTCTTTGTGGAAACAAGGTTGATGTCAAGAACAGGCAGGTCAAGGCAAAGCAAGTTACTTTCCACAGGAAGAAGAATCTTCAGTACTATGAGATATCAGCTAAGAGCAATTATAACTTCGAGAAGCCTTTCTTGTACCTTGCCAGAAAGCTTGCAGGGTAAAATCTTTTAAGTCGTGAATAGGTGTAATTTTCTTGTGACCTTTTGATGTGCAGTTGAAGTTACTGAAAGTGCTGCTTGTTGCAGGGACCCTAACTTACATTTTGTTGAATCCCCTGCATTGGCTCCTCCAGAAGTGCACATTGATCTTGCTGCACAACAACAGTAAGCCTTCTTTCGTACCCAAATTTTCTTAGGTTCTCTCTTTCTCTCTCCACACCCACCCCGCCCCTCCCCCCCACCCCACACACACTTAGGCACACATCTAATGTAACAAGGAATATAAAGCCTTATAAAAAGGCAAATAGTTTATGATTGGACTCGACGTATTAGTGTTTACTGCTTTTTTGTTAGTTTGTTTTGCAAACGGTAAGGACCTTACATTAGATATTGTCATTGATAATACAGGCACGAGGCTGAGCTTGCTGCAGCTGCTAGCCAGCCCCTTCCCGATGATGATGATGAAGCATTCGAGTAGATGTGGAAGTTGTCATCTGGTTGAGAGTTCCCTTAGTATTATTCGTGGGTCCTCGGACCTTTTCTTTTGTTTTTCTGAAACTGCTGGTATTGTTGTTTGTAAGTGTTGATTTTCCTGGTCAATTGAGGATGTGAATTGGAGAATGCCGTGTTTTGATGTTTTCCATGTATGATTTTATGTTGAACTGGCTTCCTATCAGCCGTTTTCCTACACTTTGTCCAGTCCATGTTATGCAGTGGCGTTCTATTTAGCCCATGTTTTTATGAAAATTATATTGAAGGTGCTGTAGGATTCGTAGCCATTAGATATTGGGCATTTGCATCTTTGACCAAAGATTTAACATTTAAAAACTCGTATAGAAACCCAAGAGCACATTAAAGAATTTCGCTTTTTTGCCCTTTAATGTGGTGATCATAAACTTGGTGAATGCGGCGTTGGTAGAAACAACATTGGAAAAGAAAAGTCGGATAAGAAGAGTTGTCATAGGCATAATTGATTTTTCAAGATTTAGTGAGGGTAATGTTGTCCTAGTAAGTACCTTTTATACCAACCTCAATGAAGTGGCCCAATGAAAATAGTCCACTCGTCCTATCAAACCTCTCTCAAACACTTGCTAGCTATGTAATCAACCACTTATCGATATTGATATAAGTGGAAATATTAATATGCAATTTATGAAGGGAATTGTTATTAGCATTCTAAAAATCTCATTCTATACTCCTCACAAGTGTATTTATCTTTCTAATTATAGAAAGTTTGGAGTGCCAAATGAGATTTGTGGAGTGCTAATAACAATTCCCTTTATGAAAATATCGATGAATATATCAATATCAGTTGCTTTTGACGGAAATTATGGAAATTTGTAATGGAGTGAATATATCAACTTATTTAGATTTAGCTGAAATTAGAAGGAAAATTCTTAGAAAAGTTCAAATATGCAATGAATTATGGCAATATAGAGTGAAGTAAAATGCTGCCTTCGTTTGGAGCTTTTTGCACTCTGGTCTGTCTGCGGAGAGTGTTTGTGTCCCATTGACTAAGTAATCCACAATGGGGCATTGCCAGCTCGGGTTTGTGTTGACTTGTGCCACCTCGGCTGCTAGTTCCGTCTCTATGCTCGGTTTCCCAAGTACTTGAACGGAATGGAGCGTCTGAACTGATGATCCGAAGTGGAGCGTTGACCTACTAGGGCGTCCACGTGAGCATTCTATGCTCATGGAACCTGTGTAAGGGTGTAGTTTGAAACACCGTGAGTTGCTTTCATACTTTCTCCAGGTACTGCGCTATCCTAGGAGGCTTTGTTGCGTACTCCCCTACTGTTTGGTTGGTTATTAGCAGAGAATCGGAATGGAATGCAAGTTTCTTCACCGTCAAGTTTTTCGACATTCAAAGTCCTGCTAATAGGACTTCGTACTCTAATTCGTTGTTGGATGCTTTGAAGCCTAGAGTGGTCGCCCACTCAAGCATTGAACCATTTGGGGTGATAAGAACTAGACCTGCTTCTGAGCCCTTGTAGTTGGATGACCATCGACGTGTAAACGCCAGAAATCTCCTATAGATGGGGCTGGTGCGGCTACGGCATGCTTAGCTGCCTCTATGGCGTTTCTCGGTTGAGTTATTGCGTCATAGGATTGGGAGCAAATTCCGCTATGAAATCCACCAAGCTTGGGCCTTTATCGTCATAAGGGGCCAGTAAACTAAGCCGTATTGGCTAAGTTTCAATGCCCATTTCATCATTCGTTGAGAAGGGTCTGGACTATGCGTGGTCACAAAGGATATTGGGTCATGACGATAATCGTATACGCCTGAAATTCTGATGATCTTCTGAGCTGCAACAACTAACGTTAAAATTAAGTTCTCGATCTTCGAATATTTGGTTTCTACATTTAGAAGTGTAGAATACAAGCAGTTGGGCCCCAAATTTTCTCGTATAAAGGCAAAGCTCACTGGTACTTTTGATATTGCCAGATAGATGCATTGTTAAGTTTTGGCTCTTCAATTAGTGTCCTTTTCTGTTTAGGATTGTTTTACGGAAAAAAAGGGTGCACCAATTCTTCTCCTAAAAGGGCTAGGAAAGAATCTTAGTTTCCTTATTCAATTTAGATTAGAAATCCTAGAAGTCTATTTGGAATTGGAAAGGAAGTCTATTTTCCTATTCCGCTTAGAATAGGAATTATAATCTGTAAAGGATATGTAAACTGCACCCTATGCCTATAAATAGGGTGCGACAAGGCTTAAATTTTAGAGAGAAAAACTGTGGCAGTCGAGACAAGTGAGAGAGATTAGTTCTAGGGTTTGCAAAAGTTCTGCAATCTCTATTATTAATCAAAGGAGCGGTGATTTCTTTACCTAGAGAAATCACAATTGGACGTAGGCAAAAGTTCAGCCGAACCAGTATAAGTCTTGTGTGTTTCTAAGTTTTCTATATTTGCTAGTTTAGTATATTGCCGTTGGTTATATTAAAGAACAAGGTCTAGTGTGCAATTTTTCAACATGTATAAGTCCTCTGCTATTTCGGATTTGAATAGTAGCGGAGGCGCTTTCTCACACTCGTCGTCCTACTTGTCTCAATGCGCCTTCTTGATTGCCTTGAAAAAGGGCTTGCATCGATTGGTGGACCGTGAGAGGAACGGTTGAGTGCAGCTGCTCGTTTGGTCAGACTCTGGATCTTCTTCAAGGTAGTGGGTCATATCCATGATCGCTTGGATCTGCTTCGGGTGTGCTTCAATTCCTTACTAAGTCACTAGGTACCCTAAGAATTTGCTTGAGGATACTCCAAACGTGCACTTAGCAGGTTTGACCTTCATCTTGTATTCCCTAAGGATGTTGAATGTGTCTGCTAAGTTGCCGTTTTGGTCTGACAGCTGCTTGCCCTTCACCATGATTTCGTCGACGTAGACCTTCATGGTTACTCCATTTTGTTTCTTGAACATCATGTTAACCAGTCGTTGGTAGGTTGCTCATGCGTTATTGAGGCCAAAAGGCATGACTTTATAGTAGTAGGTGCCTCGTTGGATCACGAACGCGATCTTTTCTTTGTTAGGCTCGTGCGTGGCAATCTGATTGTAGCTTGAGCATGCGTCCAAGAAACTAAGCAGCTGGTTCCCTGAAGTTGAGTCCACTAGTAGGTCGATCCAGGGAACTGGATAAGTATCTTTAGGGCATGCCTTATTGAGGTCGGTGTATTGCACACAAACTCTGCATTTGCCTTTTTTTTTTTTTTTCATCACTATCATGACATTGGGCATCCATGCTGAGTGCGCCACTTGTATGATGAATCGGCCCTCCAATAGCTTGTCAATCTCCATCTGAATGATCGTCACTCGATCGGGTGCGAAATGTCATATTTTATGGATTATTGGTTTGGTGGGGGGTCGATGTGCATCATATGGCAAGCTATCTCGGGATCGATGTCGGGCATGTCAAAAAGTGATCATGTGAAAATGTCACTTTTTCCTTAAGGAATGATGTATTGGTACAAATGTAAATGGAAATGGAATGATGACTATATCTTATATACTCTTATACCAAATCTTTCACCGCTTCTTGATAAGAGTATTTTTCTTTTTAAAATATAGAAATTTGGAGTTAACAACTAAATTTCTGGAGCACCAATACAAAGAAATTTATTTAAAATTTATATTAAAAAATAACTTTTAATAAACTATCACGACCTAATAAATAAGCTCTAGATAAAGCACCGTAATAGAACATGGTTGTCCATAAAACTTTTTTGAACCAAGAGACCTATAAGAAATTACCCGAAATCTTGCAGGTCAAACCAAACCTAAGACCGAAAGAGAAAAAAAAAACCCATCACCAACCAAATCCACTTCACCCATTTTTATGTGTAGTGTGTTTGACTCAGTAAACCTTCAACTTCCAACCACACTCCCTTAATGTCGAACCCGACCTGAAAAAAATCGAACCGAGTAGTACTGAACCGTTGGGTACCCAGAATCAAACAACTACTGGAACTCGGTAAGAGGATCGGGACCACGATGCCATTTCTTTGGTAATACCAAATGGTTGATTTGATTGGCCGTTTGATTTTATGAACGTCTGGGAAGGTTCTCAGTGAGATAGATTTATATTTTTCAATTGAAATATATGTGGGCGTTTGATTTGATTGAGATTAGATCTCAATCGCTCATAAAAATATAAATATTTCTCACTTAAAACCAAGTCCTTTACTTAACGACTCTGACACTCTCTTGTGACTCCGATCCTCTTGGTACATATATTTCGGTACGAATGTATTAGTCCATATGTTTCAGTATAAATGTATTAGTACATATGTTTTGGTACGAATGTATCAGTAGATAAGTTTCGGTACGAATGCATCGATACATAAATTTCGATACGAATGTATCGGTACATAAGTTTCTGTACGAATGCATCGGTACATATGTTTCGATACGAATGTATTAGTACATATTTTTCGGTACAAATGTATTGGTACATAAGTTTTGGTACGAATGTATTAATACATATGTTTCGGTACGAATGTATGAGTACATATGTTTCGATACGAATGTATCGGTACATAAGTTTCGGTATGATTGCTTCGGAATATAAGTTTCAATACGAATGCATCGGTACATAAGTTTCGGTATGAATGCAGAACATAAGTTTTAGTACAAAAAATCGATACATAAGTTTTGGTACAAATATATTAGTACATATGTTTTGGTACGAATGTATTAATACATATGTTTCAATACGAATGTATTGGTACATAAGTTTTAGAACAAAAATTGGTACGTAAGTTTTGATACAAATGTATTAGTTTTGGTACAAATGCATCGATACATAAGTTTCAGTACGATTGCTTCGTTGCACCTGCGCAATAATCACTTACTTGGAGAAGTACCCCCTTCCCTACAAAAATATGAGTCCTTGTTCCTTCTTGACCTTCGCACAAATGAATTTGTTGGAAGTATACCAACATGGATTGGTAAAAGCCTTCCAAATTTGGGAGTTCTCAACCTCCGTTTGAACATGCTTCACGGCAACATTCCTCATGAACTATGCAGTCTCCAAAATCTCCATATCCTGGACCTCGCAGACAACAATTTTTCCTGAGCAATACCAAAGTGTTTCAAGAATTTCACAACCATGGCAAATTTTTCAAACTCGGGATACCCCATTTTGTTCTCCTCTAGATCATATGCTTTTGGTTATGCTACTTTCGAGGACAACTACATAGAGAAAGCAATCTTGGTGAGAAAAGGTAGAGAAGTGGAGTACAACAAAATACTTACTTTGGTGAAAAGCTTGGACCTTTCAGGCAACTTTATATCCGGAGAGATACCCGAAGAGCTGACCAACCTCAAGGAAATCTTTTGGTTGGAAACATCCCTTCAAAGATTGGTGATATGAGATGGTTAGAATCTCTCGTTTTCTTGAGGAACAAACTTACTGGTCAGATTTCTCCAAGCATGTCAAAGTTTACATTTCTAAGCAACTTGAACTTGTCCTACAACTATCTGACAGAACAAATTCCAGAAGGCACACAGCTTCATAGTCTTGATCGGTTGAGTTTCTTTGGCAATAAACTTTGTGGACATCAATTGGAGAAGTACAACATAAACCATGTTGGAAGTCCAATTTCATCGGGTAATCAAAAAGAGGGAATTGGTCGTTTACTTGAAGACGGTTGGCTCGATATGAGCTTGGGATTAGGGTTTGCATTTGGTTTTTGGAGTGTTCTTGGCACGTTGTTGTTGAACATGCCGTGGAGCACTGGGTCTTCACGGTTCCAAAATAACATTGTAAGCAAGCTCTATGCCATAATTCAAGAGAAACTATGAGCATTCGAACTTGAGTGCAAAGGGAAAGCGCATTGGTTTAACCAACTTGGCTACACCAATGTTTGAAAAGCTATATGGTATTATTGTTGAACTTCTTAACTATTTTTGCATGTATAAGTTGTACCTGTTTGTGTATGTGAACAGAGTAATTTTCTTGCTAATTTCAAACAAATACACAATTACAATATAGTATTCCAAACAAACAATTGTATAACAGGAATCTAATTACAGACTGCTCATCAACTTAGCATGCTTCTTTTTCAAATGAGATAACTACAAATTGCTTTAACCACTCACACAACTCTTAATTCAATTGGAAAAATCATATTTCACAACACTTCACACGTGCCTAATTGAGCGTTAGATATCGCAAACAATAAGCAACCTTCCAAGACCATACCTCCTCCTTGTTGAATTCCAAGAAGTTCTTGGCGGAATCAAGTTTAGTTCTTTCCCTTCACTTCTCTCTACTTGCGTGAATCACCTCTTGTAAATATGACAATTTCAATACCATCAAAAGCTTAGGTTCACAGCATCAGAATAATTATTTTAAATTGAATATGTCATATGATTGTAATGTCATGACACTATCAAATCAGAAATATCAGTGCCTTCAGATTACTATGATCGAAGTACATAAACTAATAAGGAAATAAATGCACGCCAAACAGGGGTTTTATATGGTAAACTCAGAGCCATGTAAGGTTGTCGCACAAATGCACAAGGTACCGACAGTTAAGGAGTCTCAAATAAACAAATAGATATGGATCATATAAACATTTCAAAGTTCAATAAGATAAAACAAAAATACAGAGAGTTTACTGGGCAAATTCAAAAAGTGCATGGAAATAGTGCTAAACTAACATAGCTTTTTATGTCAAGCAATACGAAAAGTCGATAGAAAATACAAAGTTCATAGAACAAAAGATCAGGTAAACTACATCAAGCAAACTGGAAACCTTTTAAAAGTTTATGTTCTTCTTTGCACAAGATATGTCCCAGTTCCCAGCAGCCCTGAAATGAACCACATCAAAGAAACAGAGGAAACAATTGTACCATTTGCTAGTGACATAGTCGTACACCAAGAAAATTGGAAATAGACTGTCCCACTGTACACGCCAAAATGATAAATCCCAGCATCATCTGGGCCTTTAGAAGCAAGGCAAGGCAAGCAAGGGTCCAACCTTGGCCCTGAAAATGCAGGGATTTGAAATAAGAATCATGAAACCGAACTCTATATGCATTCACATGGTAACAAGGAAACCAAGCACAATTCAATGAGTAAATAGATAATATGGCATCACAACAGGCTTCATATTCCATGCAAGATGCAGAACAAAATAACTAATCTTCCACATACATAATGATACCATCTCATTCAACCAAAAATTTGAGAGAACAGAAAGATGGTGCATGATGCATTAGCCAGCAATACATGCAAGTGGGGTGTCAGAATATGGTGACCCTTGTTCCCAGATCAAAAACTTGGTTTTTCATTTTACCTCGCAAAAAATCTAGAGTCAGACACAGAAGTCCTTATGATAAAACCAAAACCATACGGAGACAAGTGTTCATCCTTGTCATCACCATCGAACTAGACGTAATTGGGTCCCAATAGACTAGATCCTGGATATGTACAAATCCTCTCTGGTTTAATCTCACTAAATACTGGACATGAGAGCTACAAAGCACAAGCCTTCCCAAAAGGAGAAAAGGGGTACAAATACTCAATTCTTAATATGATAAAGTACATAGCTTCCCAATTACAAATTTTATATACTTACATTTGCACATTGGAAACTAAGATAAGCACAACAAAATGGAGCAATATATCCTTGTTTCTTCCAATGGAAAAAAACTGGTAACGAGATTATGAAAAACAGTTGACAAGAAACAGTACAGATTTCCCAAGACTAAATATTCACTTCTACAAAGGTACATAATTTCCAAAGTACAAATTTCCCAAGTTTAAATCAGTAAAGCTTGAACAATCAAGATGAGCAGGAGAAATCAAAACAATTATTCTCTGATTCTTACAAAGTACGAGAGGCAATAAAGCTATTGAACATCATAAAGATCAAAAGTTATCTAAGATTGAAGTTTGTTCCTGGTGAGAGTAAGTTCCTTACTTCCATCAAATGTTCATCATTTGAAATGTGAAGTGAAATACGGAGATTTGTCAACAACGCTTCTTGTTCCCAGCTTAAGGACCCAGAAGCATGCATTGCCACCAGAGTACTGCGATAAGCATTCAATTCTAACCTATGTATTCCTGCTGCTACATCCTCTTTCAGAGGAAGGGAAAAGTTTTCTTGCGCATCTTCATAGCAACAAAAAGTCTCTGCATCACTAGAAAGGGTATCTGCATCTTGACTAGTACCTACTAAATGACCAGACAACTTATTTGAACTGCTACTAATAACACTGCAACTACCAACAGAGTATGCATCATTAATACTATCATTAAGTTCTGAGCTTCTTTCAACAAAACAAGAAATAACACCATTTAGCTTCTCCCTCTCCTTTTCAAAACATCCAGTTGTACGATTCATAAAGGAAGTATGCATGTATTTTTCACCCAGATTTTCACGCGGGTAAGCAACAGCATCTACCTTTTTGAGCAAGTAAGATGGGGACCCAGCAAAAACACGTTGACGCTCGCACCCCTTCTCAATTGCCCTCACCTTTCGGGAATATCCCTCAATAGAAGAGCTATCTGGAGAAGCTCTCTTCAATGATCCAGATGAAACACTATGGGAATCCTGACAACTGATGTTGTACATAGGAGGTAAACAACCATTTCCTCTGGGTAACTTTATTTTTACATTCATTTGTGGGACTTGCGAGCTCCTCTGATTATCGGGACCCTATCAAAAGGAACCATAAGGAATATTAGTAAGCAAATAAAATAAAATAGAGGCCTGAAACAGTTATCAATATGTTCAACAAGATAAAGAATGATAAAAATACATAAAACAACAATGAGCCCGATAGAAGTTTACCTTTCCGATCACAACCCATCTGCCATTATTCCATAATTGGCGCGCCCGGATCCTATACTTGTGGACTCTTAACTCCTCAGAAGATCCAAGTAGGCTAGCCAAGTAATAATTTTCATCCAAGACCTTCAACACCGTGACCATTTTCCAGAAACCATCATCAAACAACTCGGCAACATCACCAACTGCCCAACTCTCCACTCTTTGGACAGGCGGAGGGCAAGGCCTGATATCCTTCCTTGAGACTCTCTGCATATCTGCCTGACTGTCCTTGCCAGACGAATCATAGCTAACACTATATGTATGGCCATTACCAGAAACAATCACAGCACAGCGCCAAGCTCCTGCAGGCGCCTCCTTTTGGCTAAGTACCTCCACTTTGCTCCTCTTCTTGAATCTCATGATGACTACCAATATGTCAAAACCTGTATCAACCAAGAAATTAAATCGTCCAATCAGAAACAAAGCAAAAGAGTTTCGTAAAATCAATAACTAGATGAAAACATGACGATAAATCAGCAGCAGATACACATTTGTTAAACTTAGAAAGGGGACACCTTTTCCAGATTGAAGTGAAACAGTTTACAAATTCAAAGTATATTGACTAAGCTAATAAAATAAAATAAAAAATAAGCAAAATATACTCAACCCAAAGCCCCAATATATCAAACTGCACCAAGCTAATGAAAATCCCCAAATTTGAATACAATATCAGACTCGGAGTTCTTGGGCAAGCAATTAACACCAAAATGTTTCGCAAAACAATCCAAACGTATTCAATTTAACATAAAAGTAAACGAACAAAGCATTGAGGGTGTATATTCCAAACCCTAGAAATCAAAATTAGAACAGATTTAACTCACCTTGCTTGAGATTATTCGATCAATACGCGAACAATATTGCTCTGGATGCTTTGTGTACCGGCTTCAATTAGGGATTTCCAGTCTGTAGGGGTTGAGAATTGGGAACTTGGAATTGGGAGGAAAATTAGAAAGTTAGGGTTTGCACTTTCCTGTTTTTGTGAGAATATGAAGAAAATGATATTGTTTACGAATTTAGAATTTATATTTTGGTTTTTTTTTTGGTCCGCTAGAAGTTTTGCCCCTGGCCAGAAGGGAGCATACCGTTGGGTTAATTTACACCTAATTTATATATAAGGTTGTTTCATGCTTAAAGACGTTTATTAATTAATGAAATCTTCTTATTTCTTAAAAATATTAATAAAAGGAAGGGAATTTAATTGCATATAGGGAAGACAGAACCTTATATTAGACCCTTTAAGGGAAGAGATTTCCATTTTTCAAAAAAAATGAGGACATTTCTTGACCGTTAGATTTGGCAGCCACAAGATTTCATAAAAGCCAAATCTAACGATCAAGAGGATGTCCTCATTTTTTTTTTGAAAAATAGGGATCTCTCCCCTTAAAGGCTTTCTATATATATATATGTGTGTGTGTGTGTGTGTGTGTATGTGTGTGTATATATATATATGTATATGTATATATATAATGAAGAACTGAGCTCTCCCAGAATTACATAATAGTTTCCTGATTGCATTTTCAAAGATTAGCATATCCTAGACAACAGCCCCTATGCATTCAAAATTACAGAAAAGAATTAGGGGCCTCAACTATTGTATCAAGCTTTAGAAATAGACCAAGTAGTTCTTTCATTCACAAATAGATTAAAGAGAACCAAATTTTATACTCAAGTCTGAATGAAAAATAGCAATTTGTAATATTTGATTCATTTTGGAAAAAAATGAAGAAAATAATGTTAAAGGGAGAAGTAAGTAAACCTTACGTTTTGTTCATCTTGTTGCATATGGCATGATGTTAGAACATCTTTATAGACAACATTCCTTGTATAAACTCTAGATTGTCCTGCAATGACACCATTTCTTATAAGGACCTTGGTTGTCTGTGTGGAAACTCCTCTTGACAAAGCTACATAAAGTTGGCCATGGCTGAACACATGATTAGGGAGATAGACACCCACATATGGAATTGTTTGGCCTTGAGATTTGTTTATGGTCAGCGCAAAGCTTAATCTTACAAGAAATTGTCAACGCATAAAAGAGAACGAAAACTTTACAATTTCCGAAGGCTTCAAAGGAATGTGTGGCAGGAAAACTCTTGTGCCCTTAAAATGCCCAATTAATATTTCAGTATCAATGCAATTTGGAAAGAATCACTGACATATCAACCTTGTTCCATTGCATAACCCATTTTTTGGATCAATATTTCTGAGTAGTATGATTGGTGCACTCAACTTCAATGTCAACTTATGAGCAGGTAAGCCACCTGGAGTTATAGAATTCAAAAACCCTTGTTGATATAAGTTTTGAGGGTCATCGTCAACTCTATCAAAAGAGTAATAAATGTGTTGTTCCCCAGGAAATGAGTTTAACACCACTTCATTTAACTTGTCAACGTCCGCATTCCTTGGGGTGATGATAGCCCTATCAACCATATAAGAAATGTTGAAGGCATTCTCCTCTAATCTTGGAAATACAAAACCAATAAGATCACCAATTGATTCATCGCCATGCCAAGGAATAATCAATGAATCCGGGATTCTAATCATATCATCTTCTACAAATGACTCATTTCCATCCCCAACACGGAGCAAGAATTCTGCAAAATCAGGGTCTTGTTGAACTCTCATATTATGTTTCAACCGGATAACTTGAATCTCCTTCCATAATGAGGACTTTACAATGCATGCATCTATCGTTTACGCTTTGGTTCCATGAGGCACAACGAGAAGACCTTGACGAAAATCTCCTCCAAGAATCATCACTTTGCCACCAAATTGTGTTTACATGCCTGTTATATCTCATAAGGTTCTATCTAAAGCCTCAAATGCTTTCCTATGAGTCACAGTGGCTTCATCCCATATAGGAACAACTGCACGCCTTAGAAGTTCCGCCAAATCTGATTGCTTGCTTATCGAGCAAGTGTTGGTGGACAATAAGTCAATAGGAATCTTAAATTGTGAATGTGATGTTCTTCCTCCGGGTAAAATAGTAGCTGCAATACCAGATGTGGCTGTTGCAATAGCTATGAGGTCATCACTCCTTAGTGAAGCAAGAATTGCACGATAAAGGTAAGTCTTTCCAGTACTGCCGGGGCCATCTACAAAGAAAGCTGCTAATTGATTACATGTAACAGTTCTCATGATTATGTCGAATGCAGTGCGTTAATCAATGTTTAATGTGTGAATTGATTGCAGGTCTTCTGGGGGAACATGAAATGCAAGCTCATCTTATATATATGTTTGAGTTACTGAGCTATTTATGGACATATCAATTTGTGGAAGATCATAATTAGGAATTCTTTTACCATGTTGTTGTAACAATGCATTTAGATCCCGCAACAAAAGATTGATGATAACCCTATTATCTGAGCTGCTGGATGTTGGGTAGTCTTGTCCCATAAATGAATGAAATTCCTCCCATAAATTATGCACTCCAATAGGTTCACAATACACTAATATTGTGATGAATAACCTACGCAAAGCTAATGGCATGTGAGTTATTGCAGCTTCTAGGAGGCATTAGTGAAGTGTGACGGCGACAGGGAGTACCGCCTAACACCACTACCTAACACCGCCTAGGCAGGCTAACAACTCCCTGATTTTGTCCACCGTTTGGCACCCAATCGGGATCGGGACGGTACCTCACCTCTCAACGCCGATTTTTACAACACACAGGTAAAACTATACATTTCTCCAAAACTATTGGATCTGGAGGCAGAAACAATTCTGGTTTCAAGGCCCTCAAAGATCTTTGTTTTCATCATGTTGGTGTGACTGAGTTCTTATTGTCCAACTGTCCAACATTTTTAAAGTAAAAACAAAAATGTGTCCAACAATTTTCTAAAACGAGGACTTGGTGCCACTTCGTACTACAATCTACTATTCCTCCTCACTTATAAGTGAGAGGTCTTAGGGTTGATTCTCGCCAAAGGCGATTGAACCACATTATTATGACTTGCCCATTATGAGGCTTAGCCCAACTCTCTCACGCCATAATGTAGATAATATCGCTTGTTGGAAAAGAAGAAAAAAAAAAAAAAAACTTGGTGAACAAGTTTGGCAAGATGAATTGTCTTTAGGCTCGTTTGGAATTGTTTTTATAGAAAGTATTCACTCTCACAAGCGATACTGTTAAGAATATTATCGGAAACAAATTGATTTTTTTATTAAAAATTCAAGTGTTCTTGTAATCAGAAAAAATGAAAAATATTTCGAATCCAATACACCAAAAATATTTGAAATAAAAGGGTTTTTTTTTTTTTTGGGAAAATAAAGGTTATTATTCATAAAAATAGAGTTAGGCATGCCGTTTTTTTATTTTTTTTTTTTTATTTTTTTAACATCAATTCAAGAGTGTTGGTGTGATAATGAAAAATTTTGGAGTAATAAACAAACATTAAAGAGCCCTTAATAGTTTTTTTCAACTCTAGACACGACAGCAGCTCACGCGCATTCAAGTTACTTTCTAATGTTGATGCGTCATAAAAATTAATGGCATTCACCGATACACATGTGCGCATTTGTCCTAGTCGTTTACAGTTTTTCCTTGACAAAATTAACTTAAAACGACAACTAAGACAGAGAAAGAGTCAAACTAGAGCTATTGAGACAATTGAAAAGGAAAATTAGAAGTCCAAGATGGAACAATGACAACATCATTACCCATCCAAGCCAGCACATTTGCTGCATAATTAGTTTCATAAAACGCTTAACTTTCTCATCTCTCTATATTTATCTTCTATATGTCATCTACATTTCTTCCGCATCCCTTCCATCATCCTTCTTTCGCACTTCTTCATTGCTAAACGGACCCTAGGGTTGCCAACATTTTGCCCTAGAGATTATTTTCCAAAACAGTTTCTTGGGTCTGGCTACAATGGTACATACCACTCAATGACATGAACTTTATACAAAATCTAACTGTTGCAAACATTCCTTAATCCCTACATGCAAGTTCTAATCGTTGATTTCCATTACGTTATCATGAAAGAAAAATTGCATTTTCTTCCAACTCCTTCTTTCGAGGTGAAAATTCACTATAAGAGATGCACATGAGAAACGTAGGAAAAAAGTTGAGAAAAGAGTGCAATTATACAACTTTTTTGCTGATAAATCGGAGAGAATTCGAAACCAAATCGGAACCAATTTCACAAAATTATGAATCCTCGCACGTCTACACTGAAAACTTTCCTACAACATCGAGCAGTATGTGCTGTGGGTGAGATCTGCATCTACCACAACGGGGTGTCTTAGAATAATCACAATTATCCGGCAAATAAGTATTTGAGTAACGGAGCAACCACTGCTATACTCAAACTGTTCCCTAGCAATGCATAACTGCAGCATAAAAGAAACGGACAGAAAACGTCAGTCTTGCTGAACAACCACTGTCATGTTTAACAGGAGCTGAAATGTTTGTATTTCTCACTTACTGACAGACATCGAATAATTTTCACCAAGTAAAAGGCACAGCATTGTTCATTTTCTGCCAAAATACACATCAAGCTGAACATGAAATAGTGGCTTACCGTTGCCTAAGGCTTATGTGCTGTGGAAACTGAAAATCTTTCGGGAGAGCGCAAATTAGCAACCTAAGTTGGTCAAAGAAAAATTGTCAATTAACACGCTAAAAACATGAAACTAATAAATGAAGGTCCATAAAAGATGTGTATAAACGAAATCAGCATACGCCCCCCTCGGGGTAAAGTATCTAAGGTGCATAAACATCCACTATTCATAAAATTTCTGATTTTTCGCTCTTAGAAAGTTTCCTCTGGTGGACCCCCAAACTGAGCATATTCATGTTCTAACAATAACGAAAAAGGATACCCATGGCACTTCCCCACCTCTCTACCAAGCTTAATGGAACAATGTACTGATCTACGATGCCACTACAATATCCAATCCCTTCATCTTTCTCCAATATTCCTTCAGTGTTTGTAGAACAAGTAGTGGTGTCCCCAAAATTGGACCTCCGACTGGAGAATTGAATTCAAGAAAGCTTTCTATAGGCTCACAAGATTCAAGTAACGCATCCCGGCTCTCTTGTGGTTCATCAAGTTCAGAGAACACTGTCTTATCAGCATTTGCATCCCCAAATAATGGCCCTAGCGAGCGAAGAAGCTGATTATCGAAAACTTGATTGTAAAAGGTTGAAGGTTTCCTCTTTGCCTGCAAGATAAATGAATTTATGTATTAATACTTTTGGAAAGAATAAGAGCAAGAGGTTTCCAAGAGTTTCTAAATGACCTGGAAAACCCGTGAGAGAGGAGGGTACCAGGCAAAAATAGCGTGGCCTGGAATAGGGTACACCAAACTGTAACGGACTCAATATGAACTCCTGCAGAACAAAATTTGTTCTTCCCAATATCTCTATCATTTTTGTATGCGTATCAGATGTCTGCAGCCAGGAAATAAAACAAGGGAATTGGAACAAAACCAAATCAATATTTTACTTACAATTAAGATGAAGCTTCCAAGAATTGACCTCAAATCCGACTACATTTTCCACAAATAACACCATCGGAGGTCGAGATGTGTGTGTGGTATCAACTCAAGAATGTTGAGAAATGAAAATGCCCGAGCATCACCGGATTGCTTATGGAGATCTATCCATAAGTAACTAGTGAAAATCTGTTTAAGCTGTTGCCATACCTCTGTAAAGACGAAAATGATCAAAACTAACCCTGTCGAGTGTAAGGTTGGCAAGGAGGAGAAAGAAGCCATGCATCGGCCCCCATAACAGTCGAGATCAGCAGCAGTAAGGCTCTGAATATTACCCTGTACAAACAAGAATATTCAAATTCCAGTGCAAGATGAGCTCAAGTAGGTTTAGGAAACATCATGTCTGAGCAGTTGAAAAGCCAAACATCAAAAAGCAGCTCAAAATACCAAACACCGGAATAAATGGTACTAAGCCAAAACTGACCCAATACAGAACCAGTTGACAAGCAATTTTAAACCAAAATATTCAAACAAATTGTAAAACATCCAAAATTAAAGCATCTAAGAGATTAAGCGCCTGTTTGGAACTGCTCACTAAAAGTAATTTTTAATAACCAAAAGCACTTCCGCCTACTTTTTGTAAAAAAAACTTTTAAGTAATTCTGGGTCATAGAAGTGTCGGAAGCACTAAAGCACTTTGCATTTCAATAACAATTTCAACGGATAAGGGCACTTCTACAAAAGCAGTCTTAAACGATCCCTAGTACAAGAAACTCAAATTGGGTAGCCACATATATACAAACTTTTGATCCTCAAGTAATCAAGCACCACAAATTTGTACTTAGGCTGTGCACACTGTATAAAAAGGAGCTTGAATTTGGATAAATTACAAAATTGAACTAAAAAATGGGAAGAACCTGATAGGGACGGTGGCCGAAATTGTGCTGGTAAACGTCGTTGGCAGTGTTATTGATGTCGAACGCTTCCACAACTTCGGCGTTCACTCCTGCCCTCACTAGCGACTACATCTGACAATCGCAAAGATGCAAACTTGAGCAAAAAGCGTTGAAGAATTTAAAAACTGGAAAGCAAAAAGGGGTATTTTAGGTATTTGGGTTTTTGTATTACCATGCAGCCAATGCCGCTGTAGAACTCGAGGATCCGCCATGGCTGCTCTTCCTGTT